GTTAAATACTGTCAATATAGAAATGATTGATTAAAATAGAAAAAGCCACATGGGTACAATTGAATTCCCTAAAGAAACGAAAAGTGTTTGAACATGTAATTTGAACACATAAAAATTGTAAACATGTAGGATACAAATGAGTTTTTGGATGAAAGAGAAATAAAAATAATGATATTACAAGTTACAAAGTCCAACTTTTAGCTTAAAATTTTTTTCACAAAAATCTGAAACTTGATTATGAGAAAATATATTCTCTTGTAATGGACACTATTACTTTCAGATTCTTAACTAGTTTGGTTGTATCAATGCTCGACGTGCACCTTATGGATTTTGTAACTACCTATTTGTATATTCACTTGATAGTGACATATATATCAAAGTCCCCGAAAATCTTAAAGTGCTAGAAATAAATGATACATGTTTGAAAACTATGTTCTCGATTAAACTACATAGATCATTATGTAGATTGAAACAATTTGGACATATATTGTATAATTATCTTAACAAATATTTGTTGCAGAAGGATTACAAAAATGATGATGTCTTTCTATGTGTTTTCATAAAGAAAACAAATTTAGATTTGTAATTGCGGCAATTTTTGTTGATGATTTAAATTTAATCGAAACTCCTGAATAGCTCAACAAAATTTCAGATTATTTGAAAAATGAATTTGAGATAAAGGATTTGGAAAACCCAAATTTTTTCCCGGGTTACAAATTTAACACTTTTCGTAAAGATTATTTGTTTATCAGTCTATATATAGAGAAAAAGTCTTTAAATATTTTTATATAAATAATGCACATCTATTTACCTATGGTTATTCGATCACTTGATGTGAAAAAAGATTTATTTTTCGTCCACTTGAAGATGGAGAAAATGTTTTTGATCTTAAAGTACCATATTTTAGTGTAACTGGAGCATTTTGTCTTACAGTGGTGATGAACCCATTATTTTTCTTAGAAGTTGATGGTTCAATTTCCTTGGGCCCAATTTTTTTGAATGAGGATGTCAAAACCCAATCAAATCAATCAATCGGGCAGCTTAAATCACCGATTAACTCGGCTCGATTTTGACTGAGTCAGGTACATTTCTATCAAATTAATATGCCTCGCCCCGTCAAGGGCTTGGGTAATTGGTTTTCCAGTCCTATCGATTAGTCCAAGCTGGGTTTTATAACTATGATAAAAACCGCTAATGCCTAAAAAAATATTTTCTTTTTTTAAGGAAAATATAGTTATACGATCGAAAGTTGAAAAATATTTTTCATGAAAAAAAATTGTCAAACACCCGAAAAGTAGAATTTTGGGTTAAAATGACATTTTTCATGAAAAATAAAGTTAATCAAACACGCTTTATTGTTTTCTATTGAAATGGCCGTTAACAACTTTATTGTTACTCAAATGCTCATAGACCTAAATTCCACACTTCTAGAATTGATAATAACTAGATAATTATTTTAAGAGTATACTTTTTGACATGTAGAGCAACATTTATCAAGTGATAATCAATATTATGTGGTACACACACTTGAGCAATTGCAAGAATTAATCTGGCTAGAGCAAATTGATTGACTTTGTACGTTAAGCTTGATTGTAAAGAGAACATAATTTCCAGCACATTATAGGAGACACGCAACTTTTCTCTACTTTTAATCAAATATTTTTCAAAAAATACTTTTCTTTAAAAAAATTTAGCCCCCGTTTGTTTTCCATTATTTGCTCATTAAAATGAAAAATATGACAGTTATCCATCCCATGAAGCAACCATATTTGATTTTCTATCTCTTGTGTGGGGCCCATAACGACTATATTTTTCACTCTCATTTTTATATTGATGTATACCAAATGGGGCTTTAATGTTCTTAAAGGGCCACGGGCCACCTAGACATGCTTAGGCTTGAGACTCGAAGAAAATGTCTAGACTCGTGCATAGAAAGAAAATATACAATTAATTCTACGATGACCATAAGGCATGTGCCCCCCCTCCCCTGTTTGAAATCTAGCTCAACAAAATGTTCATTCAATTTTAAAACTTAAAAGAAAGTAAAATCACGCTACAATGACATAATAATTTGTATTATGATTGACATAATGTCATATAATATTTCATTATTGGACTCTTTTAAATACAGTCAATTTTTTCATTCAATTATATCTTGTTAACTCATATTATGTTACTCTATCTATCAATCACATTCTATCAAAGTGTCATAACCCAAGAAAATGAGTCCAATAAAAATTCATTATAACCCAATCCTATCCAACTTATCTAGCTTTCTCTGTCGACATACAAAGCTTTATTGATTTGGAGTGTTTATAATTTTAAAAATTATATTTTTGCTGAAAACTAGAAAAATATTGAGTTCGTATAATTTTTCAAAGTATTTGTTATTTATTTATTTATGTTTCACATACGCGTGCCTATACTCGTAAAACTTGAGGTTTGATCTTGAAACTTTGTCACACCTTACAACTTTTAGAACCTTGAGAAAATCTGTGCCAATCAAGAACGAAAAAATAATTTCTTTATTAATGCTATTAACAATTAATTACTCAATAAAAGCATATGTTGGCAATCTAGGAAAATAAATGTTAAATTTGATTTCAGGAAATTGGAAGTGAACCCTTGTTAGAGCTTCATTTTGGTAAAAATGTATTTTAGAATGGTATTTTCTGGAAAATGTGTGATTAAAAAATAAAAAAAAATTCTTGATTTATATGTAAAAATTTTTTATTGAAAAATGTGTAACCGAAAATGATTTGAGAAAATGAATTTTTGATAAAGGGAGACTTAAACAATGGCTATTAGATAGCATTTCCCATAAAATCATTGGAAGAGTGAAATAATTATTTAATTTAAAATGCATAATATTAAATTGAAACCATTGGCACGTTTTTATAACTTTTATTTGGCACAATTCATTTAAAAATTATTATTTTTAAATTTATACGCCCCCAATAAGATAATTTGTATGTAAATTCATAATATACATATACTTTTTAGTCAGATTTTTTTATTTTTTTTTCAAATAATCTTAATTAGATTTCATTCACGTTACATCATAACTTTCCATTCCATGTTAGATTAGACTTCCGGCACACTTTAATAAAAGGATCTATGATGAATCCGGACCTAGACCTAAATCGTTGATGGCTTAGGTCGGGTGGGTTGGGGCTTGAGTCCGTGGGTTCATTTCTCGAATTAGAATAAAATCCAGAGGTCTATTTTATGGGACAAAATATAGGGAAAATTGTAGCAATGGTACCGAACCTTTGGTTTATTAGTAGACTTTGTCCAAACCTTTAATTTGTGTCACCGTGAGTACCAAACTTTTAAAAAATTCGCACCTGAAGTCCAAATGGATGAGTTTTTGTTAATTTGACCGTTAATTGACCCAATAAATTGACTTTGACCAATTTTAGGGGTAAAATTGTAATTTTGAATTAAACTTAAAAACAAAAAATCAAAAGAAACAAAAAATCAACAGAAATCACAGTGGACTGTTCATCTTCTCTTTCCTACCCCCACCCCCACCTTACCACACCACCCAAAACAAAACCCACCCACGACGCAGGTTCTTATAACATAACCCCTTGCTTCCCAACAAATGAACTCAAGCTCATTGATGGAGAATCTGTCAATTTCAATGGCCATTTTTCGTCTTTTTCATCATTCTCTAAAATTAATCCTCTTCTAGCCAAACATCCCTTCCCTCTGCGGCGCCATTGCTACACTCATTTACTTGGATATAGTTATTCACAGTACTAGGCCAAGATCCACACTTGAAGTTCTATATGAGTCGAACGAGAATTATGAATGAGTGAAGGAGTTGAAGCGGGTTCAGAGTCGTTTGGTGGGGTCGAATCGGAGGGTATCAATGACGGATAGGCCGAGTTCAATGGGTGAAAGTTTGAGCAAGAAAAAGACTCATGAGGACCAGGGTGAGCCATGGGTGAGTTGGGTTGCAGTGTACTCGACTAAGCTTGTGACTGGAATGGCTCGGAGGCTGACGCCTAAAGAGGGGGCGGATTTCAGCCTTGCCGTGTATCCATCGAGTGGGGGTGGTAGTGGGTGATGGAGAAGATGAACAGTGGGGGTAGGTGAAGGAGAAGATGAACAATGACGTTTTGATTTTTTGTTTCTTGTTTTTTTTTTTGTTTTTGTTTTTAAGTTTAATTTAAAGTTACAATTTTAACCCTATTAAAATTGGTTAAAGTCAATTTATTGGGTTAACTAACGGTCAAACTAACATAAACCATCTATTTGGACAGATGCGAGTTTTTTAAAGGTTTGATACTCACGTTGACACAAACTAAAGGTTTGGGCAAAGATTGCTAATAAACAAAATGTTTGTTACTGTTGCTGCAATTTCCCCCAAAATATATTCATTCATGATTATTTAATTAATTAATCTGTGCCCACTGGATTTATCTGGTTCACGCCATCAAAGAGTGCCTGAAAGAAATCTCGCTTCCAGATCTTCATTTGTCCGAACACCAAAGGAGAGAGGCAGTTTTGAATTCGATCAAGCTCCACTATCCAATCAGGTTTATGCCAATTCGTGTTTTATATCATTTCATTTCATTTCATTCATTTTTGTTTGGTTATTCATTCACATCAACTCTCAATCGTTGACCTCCAAAGACTGAAATCACTTTTCACTGATTATTAAGTAAATTTATTTGAATATTTAATTCATATCTTTATGGAATTCACTCGTATCTTTCCAAACAAGTTTGATTTACATATGTTTATTTGCTTTAGTTATCTCAGTTTGATTTGACCTCTTTATTCCTTTTGATAAATTTCTTTGTTTAATTTTGTTTGTGATGTAATTTTTTCCTCAAAATAATGTTCTGGATAAGGCTTTCTTTTTGGTAGGCTAAGAAGTATGTCAAAGTTCCATCAATAAGCGTTTTCATTCTTATGAGTATTTCTTTTGCAAGTGTATCATGTTTCACTAATAATCATTTACCGAAATTCAAGATCATTATTTTTATAATCTTTGTTCTCTGCTAGGTGGGAAAAGGATTATCAATTTGGAGAAAGTGATGGTGAATGGGAATCACGGCTTGTATATGCATAATTGGCTGCTGAATACGTAGTGGCCTTGCAATCTTTATGTCTTGGGGAAGGATGAACATAGTTAAGGGTGTAGCTGACCTTCTTAGGAGGACTTCAAGTGGACAGAGTGGAGAATCCGGTTCCAGGGGATTTTCTCTACCTACGCCAATTATTCTGTTCAGGTTCTTAAAAGTTTTCTTATATACATTTTGTCTTTATCTTATGCTAATTAACTTGAATGTATTGAATCCGAATAACAATTCTGTTAGAGCTTTCAAGCTAAAGTGCGTCTAGAGAAGGAAAACTGATACGTTTGGCCAAAATTGAGTCTTGTGCACTTGATTGTTAGCGACAAAGCTTTTATATCTTGAAAAGGAAATCTATTTTTCATTAATTTAATGGTCTGTTAGTGATTGAAATGATCGTTTTGAGTTCAACATGATGGCTACATTAAAGTTCAAATGTATTAATGTTGCCTCATACGATTGTATGTCAAGACGAGCTGTTTCTTTGATCCGTCTTTTTGAAATCCGAAATATTGGTCTTTTAAGCCAGATCATTCATGTAGAGGAAAGGGATTGAGTGACCTTGTTTATTCTTTTCCTTACTCAGTTTGGAGGACTTTTCATGCTCTATCGATGTGCTTGTCAATTCATTTAGCCTCCATTTGGTAAAAAGTTATAAATGGTTTAATTTATAAATAGATAGAAATGAGTGTTGGATAAGTGGGTACAACTTGTGTTCCATTGGAATGTGATTGAAAATAAAGTTTAACCATTTATAAATTAGTCAAACTGAAGCTTAATAAATTCCTCCTAAGGGAAATTGGTGCGAATGAACTATTTTGCTGGACACAGGTCGACTCTTAGTGGATTCTTCGCCTAATGCTAATTCTTGATGTAATTACAAGCTTGTCAGGTTTTTCCTTGGGCCAGCAGAATACTTAATTTAAAGGTGTTTAGTCTTGATGAACTATTCACTCAAGCTGCTTCATGCGTCTAATCTGGGTCATTGGACAGATGAAGTTCTTCTAAATTCTTTGATTTCAGTCCAAAACCATTTAGGACAGTCAAAACCCCTCTTTGAGCTGCTAAACTATTTTGCGATCATTCACTTCTTTGTTTCAATGTTCTACCACTGCTTTTGTGTGTGTCAACCATTAACTTCATTTTCGTTTGTACATTTGAGAGCCTGACAGTTGATATTGTGAGCAACTCTACTATTTTTCTTTTTGATCAAGGACAGTTTTCCAATTATTCTTATGGTTCTATAGATCAAGAGCAACACCCAAGATGTATATGCTGACCATCCAAATTCTGATAAATGGAATTCTGTGACTGTGACCTAGGTTACCTTGCATTTTGATCATTCTATCATACGATGTCTTGATTTTATGAAGGTCATGGAAATATGTCAAATCTACTCATTCAGTTGTATCAGTAATATAAGGGGTTCTTAGTTTGTAGAAATTAAAAGTCTTTCTAGCTTTTCTTTTATATATATTAGTCAAGGGTTTCCATGTCATATCCCAATCAAGTTGACGGATTTCTTATTGTATTCTCATTTGCCTTGTCCACGAATCTACCATTACTATTGTGAGAGGTCGGTGTTTGAACTCATTATCTATGAATCACTTGTACACATAAACACATGAAAACTTGGCCCTATGCCATATTTCAGAAACTTTGTGCTATCTTCTTTCAAAAGAAAAATAAGGATTGTCAAACTCTTTTATGCCCTGTGATGCTTGGACTCTTCATTCCGGTCGGAGTATTTGTGTCAACCCGACCCGACACTACATGACAAGGATAAAGGTATAGCATATGGGACGGACACGGCAAAAATCAACTGGACACGAAAATCTAGAAGGCTGTCCACGACGGCGTCACAGGAAAAAAATGAGTCGCGCGCTCGCCCACACTAGAGAATGCATTTGGGAAGAACTCTTTTGATGATGGGTGTGGGACTTGAATACAAATCCTGCTTCCTTACGCTATGCTTGGATTATACGACCAATTTCGGCTTCTCTATGTTGGATGGGAAGAAGTCTGCGGGGTAGTAGTGAAATGAGATGATGGAATAAAGAAATAGGGTTTTATTGGAGGATTTGGGTCAGGTTAATGAAATGGGCTCAAGATGTGGAGGCCCAGTAAGAGAGATAGCTTTTCATAGAGGATCGGGGTCAAGTTCCCCTAGGTACTGTTTATTAAATGAAATGGGCTCAGGATAGGAGGCCCAGTATCATATTGTGGAAAATAATTAGTTTCCTTTTTTAGTTGTAAATTATTGTAAATCTTAAGATACTAATTCCTGATTCTATGGGAATTATTAGAGCGTAATCAGGGATTGAATAGTTAGAGCATAATCAGGGATCTTGTAGCAATATTTTATATGTTTCCTTTATTGTAAGATTTGTACTAGCCTATAAAGGCATCTATTTTGTGACTGAATAATATGCACAAAATTAATCTCATTTTATCATTTTACCACACATATAAAGAAGCCCCAAATCTTGGCTACCGTTTAGAAAATAATTAAAAATAATTAAAAGTATCCTTCATGGTATCTATGAATATAGAAAAAAAATTAAAGAAAAATTGAAATTCGAAAGACGTACCCACGTATTCGTGTCTTAAATTTGGACTCTTTTACCATTTCCCCGTACCTTAAATTTTAAAAAATAAAAAATCCGACACTTAGATACATAAACGTACTCGAGTCCGAGTATTATAGTCCATACCCATCTTACCTTGCCAAAGCAAACTGGCTTCTTCGAAAATCCAATTGAATGAAGCTCATGAAGTACACTGCAGCAACTATTTGCAGCATCACAATGTATAGTCATTATAATTTCAGCAACTTATAATTTTATCCACAAGTATGCCTAAGAAAAACCAGCAAAGAAATGCCCGTGTCTGGGGTGGGTGTATATGTGCATGTTTTGGAAACATTATAATTTCCTTATAAATAATAGTCAGAGTAAAACTTAACCACACATTTCATAGACTCACTACTACTACTCACTCATCTATCACTCATTTCTATCACATTATAATTTCAGCAACTTATAGGTTTAACAAAAAAGCACATGTGCATGCAAGACCAGATGCCCCCATGCACTGCAAGAATTCATTTACAATTTTCTTTCCTTCCTTTTGCTCTTCTCTCTCTATATTGCATCATTGGGCGTGCGCTATGTGGGCCGCTGATTATACGTCACTGATGACCACTCATGCTGCTCCAGAAAACTCTACTCTATGACCTTGAACCTCTAACCTAAGATATGCGTAATACTTTATTGTGCTTGATGGTTGGTCATGTTCCAAGTATAGCAACTACCCATTTGAGTGTTAGTTCTCTGTTAAGCTTTGAATTGTACCCTTTGACTTATTTGGTTATGCACTTGTTATCTCTGACACTAATATTCTCACTATCAATGGAAAGAAGCCTTACAGCTGCAAAATCAATGTGTTTAGATTTTTAATGCCTGCAAAATTTATGAGTTCACATTTTAATGCACATGGTATTTATTGAAAGCCTGTATGAAGGCAGTAGCTTCACTGGCATTGTTAGGAACAGTTGTATTTACTCGTCTTACTGATGGTAATGACAAATGTTGGTTGAAGAATGTAGCATTTGCTTGCTTACAAGCCTTTTACTTTAAAGCTTCAATTCAAAAAATAAAATGATTTGTCTCAATAGATTGACATTTCCAATTTTAACTTCTGCAGTGAGGTTGGTGATGAGGCAATTTTGAATACTTTATGGGGAAGATACGATCATGCAGCCAATAAGGTATATATAAGAGATTTTTATTTTTTAACTGTTTATTCTCTTTGTTGTTATCTTGTAGATTGTTTTAGATTAGAAAAACTTAACGCAGTTGGTTGTGACTTTATTGCATATCCCATTCTGAAATATTGACTTTAAATTGCCTTTATTTTAAAATCCCCTGACTATCTGTTGTGCAGATTTTCTGCACAACCGCTCTTCCTCATTAATCATGTTGTATGATTGCTAACCAGATTCATCGAAATTGGTGGCTGCCTGTGCACATATGAAACCATGAAAATAGTACATTCCTGGCGCAATTTGGAGTAACCCACAAAAATACACCACGAAATCCTTATTATAGCACATAGCTACAAGTCTTGACTTTCAACTTAAATTGAAACCTCATTACTTGATGATGAACATCTTTTGGATATTGAAAGGAACAAGTTCGTTGAATGGGATTTTAAGCAATCTATTTTATATTTCTGATGCACAACAGCTCACAAGATAAGGTGATCATGGAAGATTAGGTTGTGCTGCATGCAGATACTGTGTGTGGTGAGAGATGCCATAGCTTGTGCAATTAATAAGAGCAGCCAACCTCTTAAGTACTGTAGAAAATAAAGCTTTCACTCTAGAGCACATACTAGTCCCCCTCATGCCCATCTTTAGAATTGGAGCCTTTAATGTTGGCATAAAGCATGTCTCAATTCCATTGAAGCAGTCATCCGTTAGTCCTTGTTTGATTAATCTCTTTGCTTATCTTATCCATTCTAGTATTATCTCGCATCCATCTTATCATCCTTACTTCCGCTACATCCCTTGTAAGATGTTCCTGGCCGTTAACAACTTAACACTCAATCGTAAAGTATGGCTTATTTAATCTCTACTCCATACAACTAGCCTTTTAACATTAGTGAAATTTCTGTATCACATCCATTTTATCCAATCCTCTGTAATGCAATGCATTACATCATCTTCAATCCCTTAGTCCTCACTAATAATCAAACTTAGATACCTGAAACGATCACCTTTTGGAACGTCATCCTCTCTAGTAACCCATTATTATCCGCACTCATGAGACTATTAGATGAGACTTTCATGTATTCCGTTCTAGTTTTACTTAACCTAAGACATTTATATTTTAATATACTCCGCGATGCAACTTAATGATGCTAATTTGAACCTCCAAATATGAGCATCACCATGCTCTGCCCTGCCGGGACGATGGCAGTTTCTGGGGGCAGGGTTTGTCTGCGGGTTCCCCGCTCGAATTATTAGTTATTTAAAAGTTCATAGTTTGTTTAAATTTACTTTAGTCCAACTTTCTTTTGTCTAAATCCAAACCAATTACCTAAGTCTATTAGCATAGTTCCCAAATACGTAAGGATTTACATAAAAAACAAAAAATACAAAAAGGGTAGATTGGAGATTTCCCCATTCCCCTCTGCCCTATCCCACCTTAAGCATGAATCGGGGCAGGGATGGGAGCGTCCTGACCTGTTGCCATCCTTATGCAGCATGTCCTATGTGATTCAAACTTGTGACCGACAATTTAACTCCTCTTTTGTCTTATCGGCTAATTTTATGCACCAATGAATAATATACATTGAAGACATCTTGAATATATATAGTAAGCTCGTCCATGACGCTACAACCTTGATACAACTCTAGAGTGATAGGGGGAATCTGTACTACTACAACAACTAGATCTCACATTTGTGATTGCTCCATTGTACATGTTCTTAATAATATTGACGTGTCTAATAGAAATTCTCTCTCTAGCGCACATCATAGTACTAACCAAGGTACCGTCTTATAGGTTTTTTTAGATCAATAAAAACCGCATGCATGTTTCACATAATCCACTCCTTCCTTCCCTTGCATGAAAGAACCATATGCCAAAATGATGTGGATATCTTGTTTGATGGGGAAAAAAAAGTTATTGATAATAAGACAATGGTACATGAGTTGAAAATCGGACTTAGCAATTGCATAAGTAAAAGAAATGTAAAATCAATATAATGAATAACCTCAACTCTGTGTTGAACAGGTAAAGCTTCACAATTGAAGTAACTAGGGTTAGCAATTTGACCTGGAAAATTCAAGCCCGCTTTGCCCTGCCCAGATGGGACGGGGTTTGGCTACCCTGCCCTTTTATCTTGTTATTTGTAAACGAAATTCAAAATTTGTTCAAAATTACTTTAGCTCAAATTTTTTATGCCTAAACACGAACCAATCACCCAAGCCCGTTAGCCAAATCCCCATATTGCCCTAGAATTTATAGAAAAAATAAAAAATATATATAAAAGGGGCAGTAAATGGGGTGGGGGATTTCCCCGTGCCTTGCGCTGCCCTGCCTTAAGCAGGGATCAGGGCTCCGATCCCCGTTGCCATCCCTAGAAGATCAAGCTTTCTTTGCTCATAATGAAGAGAGAAGAACCTATCTATCTCACATGCATAGGGGAGTAGATTGACAATCTTGAAAGATTCTAGTGCTCTTTTCAATCTAAATGGACCTAGTAACAGCCATCAGACCACACTACACCGAACAAACAGCTGAATAACATCGTTATCATCTTGAAACATGGGCATGATGCTATACAAGAGATGATGCCGTGAGAAACAGTAAAAAAACGAAATATGAGCATTTTGGAGACACGTCAAGAATGATAGAGAGACTAAGAAACACGTACAGAGTCTTGACAATGGGTAGAATTTGATAATTAAAAAATTTGAGCATTAACGCGTGTTGCTTTACTTTAAGCCGTTTGACACTTTCAGTTGCTTTCGTGTTCATCTTTCACCAAATACCAGCCATTGCACAATCGGCAGTTAGCCTGGTTTGCTGGTTAACTCATGATGCAATAGATGAAATGCCTTTCTTTGTGATTGCTTCTTGTTTTTGTGTATTTTTGAATATGTGGGATTTCTTATATTTTCTGCTCATTTTCCCCTTCATGTCCAGGCAGAAAAGAGGAAGTTACTCAATATTTTTCTCAAGCATTTTTTGATTACATACCGGAATTGGGTACCGGTAAATATGGGCCAATCTCCTGAAGATGCTTCCCACGTTTCCTTTGTGGAGTATTCACAACAGGTTGATGATAAGGTGATCGGATGCTATTTTGGTCACCCTTCTGAAATTATATTGGTCTTGATAGAAGGAGTTGCACAAATAACAGCATTGCTTTCTGACAGTAAGTTGGAACTATTAGTTGATAGTTTTGAGTTATAGAGTTGCAAACTGCATTTAATTTTACTCCTCTCTTGTTTACAATACTTTTCTCTGGCTCTTTCACTTTATTAATGTTCCAGTCTTTTGGTTACTTTGGCTGTTGAAGCCTAGCCCTAATGAGTATTTCACAGATAATATACAATCATAACTGTCCTTGGGCTTACATCTAGGGTATCCAAAGGTGGAACAGGGTCATCAATTTTTTAAATACCCTCTGTTCAATGACTGAGTTAATTTGCGGTTGTCAGACTGGTTTCCATGGGATTGGTACTCCACACCCTTAATGACCAGTCCTCATCTATTTATTTGATTACCTGCTGTATCCTATGTTAGGTGTACGCTTAATATTACCCCTGTTACTATATCTCGTATTTGACCTGAAAATTATTTAATTATGAATAGTCGAGAAATTCAACAGAAAATTTATGTATTAAACATACATTGCTAGGAAGCGCGAAGATTTCTTTGGTGTCGTGTCCATGTCCAATATGGACACTGACACTCCTTGAACACACTGGGACATGTCCTATATCCGTTGTAAATTTGGAATACAAAATTAAAAAGAAAATAATAATGAAACTATTTGTGCAAAATAATTAACGACTGTGTCTGTGAGACAATAGTTGGATTTCATGTTTAATCTGTATATTCTGAATGTACACATTTTCCGATACATTAACATTTTCACCATTGGTTAGTAAATCTTCACTCCTATTGAAAAGATTTCACCTCCAAAATAAAATTATTAAAATAATTGATTTTATTGAATAAAAAATCTAACATTTATAAGTGTATAATTTTAATACACGTGTCTAATGTGTCTGGATACTGCTTTGTAAAAAAGCTATGTGTTTAGCGTGTCTGTGGTTAGTTCCTTATCCATCCATCGTGTATAGTTTGACACCCCGCTGCTATAAGCCAATTTTATACATCTTCCTTCTAATTTCTAAACCTACTTCTGACTGTCTAACAATACAATTTGACAATATAATCTCATGCTATTAATCTCTATTCTGATAAGATGATTGTGTCATAGGGACACCCCTAGTCAATAAAGCTAGGTAAACTTCTAAGGTCCACGTTTTGTTATGCTCGTACATCTTTAATCTGCTTCTTATTACAAAAGCACATGCTGTACTCAAATGAGGTGTAGAGGTATTCTAATAGGAATTTTAAATTACTTATGAAAGAGACTATAATGTTTAGTCACATACCCTTGATTTGCAAAAGCACATGCTGTACTCAAATGAGGTGCAGAGGTATTCTATAGGAATTTTAAATTACTTATCAAAGAGACAATAATGTTAATGCACTTACCCTTGATTGGCTTTCTTACTATTCACCTTTCTTAACATGTTTTTCATGCGATTCTTCATCATCTCGCTAATTTTGTTTAATTGGCTGTACAAGTGCCTTTTTGAAAGAATTGTTTTAGTTGATACTGTATACTTGGTTTAATGCCGTGGCTATTACTCGTGTAGACGGGTTGCTCAATTTCGTGTCGTTTCTGTCTTGTATTAATTGATAATACACTTCCTGTATATTATCCTTGATCGATAAAATATTTGATTACCTATTAAAAAAAAGAGTGCCTTTTTGAAATAAGTTGAGTAAACATATGGTTCCTGTGATATTAGACATATTTAAGCTTTGAAAATTTATCCCTAATTTTGTCTTTAGCTGGTCTTAGAATCTTGGAAGAATTGCATTTTTGTTTTCCTTAATCTTGTTGAGTCTCTAAATTGTTTATATTGGGCCTCAGCTCCCGAATTGATGATTTTCATGGTTGCATTTGATATATCTTCTCTGTAATTTCCCTGTTATTGGCAATTATTTTTCCTAGTAATTTTATTTTTATGCAATCATACTGCAATTTAACTGCAGACCAAGTGGGTATTTCAACAAGTCTGAGCATGGCTAGCGAATCATGGCTCATCTTGGATGCTTTAACCATTGTGACTCGATCCATGCACAACTGCAGAGTATTCAGCTACCATGGAGGCATTCAAAAGCTTACAGCATTGCTGAAAGGTACAATTACTGTGTGCTAATTCTGTCAGTCTTTTTGTGTTTTATTTTTGTAACTAATGTTGCTTCAGAGTTCTCTCTTAAAGGTGGAGTTCCTAACACTACCATCTGTGGACAATACACACACACACACACACACACATATATATATTTTTGTTCATTTCATTTCATAAATTTCATTTTCCTCTTTTTGTTTGTTCGGCATCACTATTGCCACGAGTATGTGTGTGCGCTGTCTTGAGTTATAGTAATTCTGCAATTCGTAATAATTTTTTTTTTTTTCAAAAACTAAATAGCAATCTTTTATGTCATGGGAGTTCACAGAAATTTAATGTTGGAGTTCCTGCAGGGAAACTGATGTTAGGTGTTAGTTAATTTTGTTCATACTCGCTTCTTTCTCTAATACACGACTGACCTAGTGTTCTCTGCAGCTTCCATGCAAAACATATATTTTTGAGTGTTTCAAATTTTTCATTCATATATGTTCAGATACTATGTTGGATTTGTTAAACATGCTGATGTGTCTGCCGTGCTATTTTTCTCACCATTAATTCTTATTCTTTAACTGAAGTTCATCATGGATTTATTTCACACGTATTTTGAGTTTATAATTTTGTTTCTAGAATGCTAATAGATTTTGGACGCTGCTTCATCTGTCAAGTCCATTGCTTTATCCTCACATAGTATTTCACAGATAATATACAATCATAACTGTCCTTGGGCTTACATCTAGGGTATCCAAAGGTGGAACAGGGTCATCAATTTTTTAAATACCCTCTGTTCAATGACTGAGTTAATTTGCGGTTGTCAGACTGGTTTCCATGGGATTGGTACTCCACACCCTTAATGACCAGTCCTCATCTATTTATTTGATTACCTGCTGTATCCTATGTTAGGTGTACGCTTAATATTACCCCTGTTACTATATCTCGTATTTGACCTGAAAATTATTTAATTATGAATAGTCGAGAAATTCAACAGAAAATTTATGTATTAAACATACATTGCTAGGAAGCGCGAAGATTTCTTTGGTGTCGTGTCCATGTCCAATATGGACACTGACACTCCTTGAACACACTGGGACATGTCCTATATCCGTTGTAAATTTGGAATACAAAATTAAAAAGAAAATAATAATGAAACTATTTGTGCAAAATAATTAACGACTGTGTCTGTGAGACAATAGTTGGATTTCATGTTTAATCTGTATATTCTGAATGTACACATTTTCCGATACATTAACATTTTCACCATTGGTTAGTAAATCTTCACTCCTATTGAAAAGATTTCACCTCCAAAATAAAATTATTAAAATAATTGATTTTATTGAATAAAAAATCTAACATTTATAAGTGTATAATTTTAATACACGTGTCTAATGTGTCTGGATACTGCTTTGTAAAAAAGCTATGTGTTTAGCGTGTCTGTGGTTAGTTCCTTATCCATCCATCGTGTATAGTTTGACACCCCGCTGCTATAAGCCAATTTTATACATCTTCCTTCTAATTTCTAAACCTACTTCTGACTGTCTAACAATACAATTTGACAATATAATCTCATGCTATTAATCTCTATTCTGATAAGATGATTGTGTCATAGGGACACCCCTAGTCAATAAAGCTAGGTAAACTTCTAAGGTCCACGTTTTGTTATGCTCGTACATCTTTAATCTGCTTCTTATTACAAAAGCACACGCTGTACTCAAATGAGGTGTAGAGGTATTCTAATAGGAATTTTAAATTACTTATGAAAGAGACTATAATGTTTAGTCACATACCCTTGATTTGCAAAAGCACATGCTGTACTCAAATGAGGTGCAGAGGTATTCTATAGGAATTTTAAATTACTTATCAAAGAGACAATAATGTTAATGCACTTACCCTTGATTTGCTTTCTTACTATTCACCTTTCTTAACATGTTTTTCATGCGATTCTTCATCATCTCGCTAATTTTGTTTAATTGGCTGTACAAGTGCCTTTTTGAAAGAATTGTTTTAGTTGATACTGTATACTTGGTTTAATGCCGTGGCTATTACTCGTGTAGACGGGTTGCTCAATTTCGTGTCGTTTCTGTCTTGTATTAATTGATAATACACTTCCTGTATATTATCCTTGATCGATAAAATATTTGATTACCTATTAAAAAAAAGAGTGCCTTTTTGAAATAAGTTGAGTAAACATATGGTTCCTGTGATATTAGACATATTTAAGCTTTGAAAATTTATCCCTAATTTTGTCTTTAGCTGGTCTTAGAATCTTGGAAGAATTGCATTTTTGTTTTCCTTAATCTTGTTGAGTCTCTAAATTGTTTATATTGGGCCTCAGCTCCCGAATTGATGATTTTCATGGTTGCATTTGATATATCTTCTCTGTAATTTCCCTGTTATTGGCAATTATTTTTCCTAGTAATTTTATTTTTATGCAATCATACTGCAATTTAACTGCAGACCAAGTGGGTATTTCAACAAGTCTGAGCATGGCTAGCGAATCATGGCTCATCTTGGATGCTTTAACCATTGTGACTCGATCCATGCACAACTGCAGAGTATTCAGCTACCATGGAGGCATTCAAAAGCTTACAGCATTGCTGAAAGGTACAATTACTGTGTGCTAATTCTGTCAGTCTTTTTGTGTTTTATTTTTGTAACTAATGTTGCTTCAGAGTTCTCTCTTAAAGGTGGAGTTCCTAACACTACCATCTGTGGACAATACACACACACACACACACACACATATATATATATATATATATTTTTTTTTTGTTCATTTCATTTCATAAATTTCATTTTCCTCTTTTTGTTTGTTCGGCATCACTATTGCCATGAGTATGTGTGTGTGCTGTCTTGAGTTATAGTAATTCTGCAATTCGTAATAATTTTTTTTTTTTTTCAAAAACTAAATAGCAATCTTTTATGTCATGGGAGTTCACAGAAATTTAATGTTGGAGTTCCTGCAGGGAAACTGATGTTAGGTGTTAGTTAATTTTGTTCATACTCGCTTCTTTCTCTAATACACGACTGACCTAGTGTTCTCTGCAGCTTCCATGCAAAACATATATTTTTGAGTGTTTCAAATTTTTCATTCATATATGTTCAGATACTATGTTGGATTTGTTAAACATGCTGATGTGTCTGCCGTGCTATTTTTCTCACCATTAATTCTTATTCTTTAACTGAAGTTCATCATGGATTTATTTCACACGTATTTTGAGTTTATAATTTTGTTTCTAGAATGCTAATAGATTTTGGACGCTGCTTCATCTGTCAAGTCCATTGCTTTATCCTCACATTTGATACATGTAATGATCACATTAAGTAGGTGTCGGATTCCCTTCAGGTGACATCATTGTTCATATTTTGGTTTGACAAGAAAAATGTTTTTTGGTTATGATTCCCAAGTTATGTAGCTATGTTTGATTATGGTTCACATTGAATTTCACCGAGAGATGTTAAAAATAACAAACTGGTTTAAAGTTATTCATTGTACTGTCATTTTCTTTCTTGTTTCCTATGTATGTTGCTATGATGTGTTTGTTCCTTTTCTGGAGAGAGCATTTTGTCCTTGAATTATTACATGCTTAATGCATGACTCACAAGCTGCTTTTTTTCAGCTGCTGTTGTCCAACTTAAGACCGTTATCAGTGCTCTTTCAGCAGATGAAAGTTTGTCAAATACTATGGTGGAGAAAACTGGAATTTTGCAAAAGGTTCTTGTTTATGTGGTGTCCGTCATATCTAACTTTATTGATTTGCACTCATACCCGGAAGAAAAGTTTCCCTTGAATAGAAGCAATATGGAATTGTTTGTAACAAGTAGTGAAACATCAAGTGAAACTTCAACTACCGCGGAATCTCTAGTTTCTGAAACAATGTTATTGTGGCATCAGAAATCAGTTATTTCAGTTATGGAAGCTGGTGGTCTTAACTGGTTAGTAGGTAAGGTATGCAGTTTTAGCTTTTGTTTGTGTCTTGACCTGTCCTCGTGAACTGAAATTAATACCAGTCGGCGGTGAACTTTAAAGATATATGATAGTATTGAGGGATGTGTGATTACTGCAGTGCCTGCTGATAGGATTCTTGTTCTGAGTTTTGAAGTGCTTTGTAGCATGCCACTGTGTGATGTAAGCAATCCCTATTCTCTGAATTTCGGAGATATTCACCCCTCAAGGCCTCATGGGTATTTGAGTTTGTTATAGTTGTCTAGTCTATTCATTTTTTTGGGATTATTATATGAAAATGTAACCACCTAGACACCATCTTACAGTCTATAACTCACCCTTAAAAATGAGTAAAATTATCTGAATGTATTTCGGATGCTAGATATTTAATGCTTTTAAATTGCTGAGATTGATCTTCCCTATTTTTAATGGAGTTTTGTTTATGCATTCTTCACATTCTTTCTATTTCCACTGCTTGTTGGATAACACGTTTTGTTAATATCATAAGTTGATTATGCATTTCAAGATTTATAAAGTAATCACTTCTATTAATAAGGATAATGTTATTCTCCTGATTCGAGCTTATGCGGCTTATATGTTGTTAACCATCTAGGCTTTTTGGTCAGTTTTTATCCTTGGTGTAGTATTTCAATCTTTAGTTAGGCCCTGTTTGAGTCGCATTCTTTAAAAAAAAAAAAAAAAAAAAAAAAAAAATAAATTCTTAAACAGTAATTTAACATTATTTCAACCACACATTCTTCAATAAAATAATATTACACGCAACTTCAAAATTTCTCTCATTTTTTAACCACATATTTTCAATCAATTGACTATTCCAAAATACATTCTTTCCAAATAATTTGGCTCTAACACACACTTAGTTTATATCATCTTTGGAAGTCCCACACACCCTTTCTTCCTCCTAAAAAGGAACACATTGAAATTGAGGGTGAGAGGCTTTTATTTCTTTGCATTTTTATAGCTTTCATTAGTTTTCTTTTGAAGCAGAAAATTTATATATGTCTATATGTGCTAATATTTTACTTGGTATGAAAGACCATTTTTGCGGGCATTTTGAAATCCATGCTAGCCTTGAATACCTTCTTTTGGTGACGTTGACAATTGTTTAAATAAATGTAAAAATGTTAGAGAACTGTACTTAATTAGAAGTTCTGACACAATATGGCACGTGATATTTTACCTCTGCTGATGCTGTGCCAAGGGCCCCAAAAGTGTTAAATGAGTTAAGATGTCTCGGTATAAGTAATGCTACATATCAGGGTGTGAAACTATTAACAAAACGCAGAAAATTGCATGAAATATTCTTGAAGCAAAACTACTTTTATGTCACAAGCTTCTTTCGCTGTAGCTATCTTGTTACATGCAAGAAGCAATTTTTTGCTTAATCTAGGTTTTTTAAAATTATTTTTTGATGATTCACATGTTTATCAGTTGGTAGAACTTCCCTCCCCCTCTTTATACGGAAAAATAAAAAAGGGACTACTACATTGTAAACATCAGGGATTCTGTTTTTGCTGTGATTGCTATTATTGCTCCTCTGTTGCTTCTTCATGAGCTTAATTTTAGCATTTGTAGCTTCTTCTTTGCTGTTTCTTCTGGTTGCTTACTCGATATACTTCTGTCTTGGCAGCCTGAATGTACTGTGTTGTTGGATGCCCTTGAACATTCTGCCTATAATCTTGATATTGCTTGTCTTCTTGCGAAAAGTCTTCTTCGAATAATGCACCTTTCTCCAGAGAAAACTGTTTCTTCGTTCAAGACACTTGATGCAGTTCCTCGGATGCTCAAAGTTGCATGTATTCAGATACATGAGTCTAAAAGGCCTGAAAGTGCAAGCCCACACGGGGAAACGGCTAACAGAGAAATGGTTTTTTGTCAAAGCTTCGAAATGTCTTGTTCTCCTGAGGCGACTCAGAATTGGTCCAAATGCATTGGAACATTAATGGATCTTTTTGCAGAATACTTCTCGGTCTCAGATACTTCAAAAGCTTCTATTTTGCATAGTCCCACTAGCATCGATTGTATGTTTGACTTGTTCTGGGAAGAAGGTCTAAGAAATCACATTCTTAAATATATTCTTGATCTTATGAAGGTATGCTTTTGCTATGTTTGAATTTTATTATCTATTATTATTATTATTATATTCTAGCTATTTTATCATTCTTCACAGAAGCACCATTGTATCTGTTACATGTTTAAAACTTTTTTGCCAAATGGCAGATTGTTCCATTTTCTGAGGAGGACCAGAAAGCAAAGTTATATTTATGCTCCAAATACTTGGAGACTTTCGCTCATTTGAAGGAAAGAGTAAAGAATTTCGCTGATTTATCAATTGATTTATTGGTTGGGATGAGAGAGTTGCTCTTAACAGATCAATTGGTATTTAAATAAGCCTTGCAAATTTTAATTTTGCACGTTGATGTGAATTTCTTTATAACATGTCCTGTCAATGCAATTTGACCTGTATAATTGCTACTTGATGCCAGCATTATCAATCTTTATTCCGAGAGGGTGAATGCTTTTTGCATGTCGTGTCTCTATTGAATGGGAACCTTGATGCAGAAAATGGAGAGAAGTTAGTCCTAAATGTCATTCAAACACTAACATACCTGCTTTCAAGGAATGATGTCTCAAAGGTAACCCCTTTCTGCTTCTTGTGACGATGGCAATTTGTAAACTTGAAATTATGCTTGATGCAAATAAAGGTTTTGAAGCATATGACATAAATATTACTAATCTACTGTTCTCCTTTTCTGTCCTAATGATGTTGGAGCACCAGAAACCATGATTCAGCCGCAGCCCTTTCTTTAATTATTCTAGAAATTTATCTCAGATCATTTCCCTTCCCTATTCCCCGATATAAGCGCAGTTCTGGCTTTCATTTACGTGTATATGATTTCAGTGAACTGGTAAGTCGGTGACACGTCAGATGATTATAGATCTATTGTGAAGAACATTGTCCAAGTCAAATTAGATTCCCTACCGAAACATTTATTAGCTTATCAACCTAACATTTTACATCATCAAGTTTTCCACATTTTGAAAATTGAAGTAGATAAGCTCAAATTTATAGTTTGTTCCTATTGAGAGTCATCTAATGTGTATATGATTTCAGTGAACTGGTAAGTCGGTGACACGTCAGATGATTATAGATCTATTGTGAAGAACATTGTCCAAGTCAAATTAGATTCCCTACCGAAACATTTATTAGCTTATCAACCTAACATTTTACATCATCAAGTTTTCCACATTTTGAAAATTGAAGTAGATAAGCTCAAATTTATAGTTTGTTCCTATTGAGAGTCATCTAATTCTTGTATTGACTGAATCTTTGTGAACAATAAGATATGAGATAGATGACAAAAGAATGTTTGCGAAGTGCCTAATTTTATCATTTTGTTTTTGATAGTCCTTAGCTATTTTGGTCAATTTGCTGTCACTTCTGGATGGAATGAGCAGTTACTCTGTCCTGCCTTTGAAAGGTTATTGTAGAATAGAGACATAGTATGGTTCTAAATCTTAGATGAGGCTAATAAGCATAAATGATGAATTTTCATTGTTTTGCTGCTGACCTTTAAAAGCAAAATCCCTCCATGCTATTCTCATAATTCTTGGTGATAATGATATTTGTCGTTGAGTTTCCAAAGTAAAAAGATTTTGTGCATGAACAGACACAAATTCATTTGTTCACTTGTGTGGAAAAATTACAGTCTTAATAGGACACACATCACAAAGAATAGGACACAGATGTTACATGGAGAGTTCCTGTGAAATATTTTACCCTACTCGTTAGGAAACATATATATAGGAATGAAAAGGAAATTGTAAAAGGATGGGAACCTGTCAAATACTTATATGCAATCTCAGAATTAAGTCAACCAGATTTTGAGGGATCTATCACTAACTAAGGAACCTGTAACCAAATTCGAAGGATCAGCGAACAGTTGCACTCAAGCTCGTGAGTGATTTATCCACTCACTGTGTAGACTATATCTTGATTTGGATTGGTAAACAAATGTCTAAATAACAATCTCTTCATCTACTGTCTTATCATTTGCAGCCTCTACTAGTTTGTGATTTTACTCCATTTGCATATCAAGTATCAACTACTTGCATTCAAGCATCCTTGATTCTTGGTGTCAATACTAATGATTTGTGTCTGGTGCATTGATGATGTATAATGCTTGTGTTTATGCGATATGAAGAGGCAGAGTAGAATTTCAGTCTCCTCTTTTTCAATGCAAACAACTCTCCTGAGGTGCCTAGGTTCCTACTGCATGGTGACTTTGGCGGGAGAGGTTCTAGATTTTTTATGAATCATTTTATAAAAAGGACTTCAAATTTTTAGTGCTTTCGTGCATTCTTTTAATGATAATTTTTTTTCTTTGTTTGAGGACACCTCTTCTCAAATCATATAAATGTGCACATGCATAAATTTCATTGCTTATTCTTGAACAAAGGCGGGATTTTTAGACTTCTCACAATTCTATGTCTCCTCATAATTGTTATCAGTTGGAAAAATGTTCTCTGTTGCCATTTTACTTGATAAGTTGTTCATCTTGTCTTTTATGTATCTCATATTGCATTATATGTGACTTATCATGATGGTCCGTGCAAATAGGCACATTGGTATATACAATTCTTGCTCCATCAATTTGTCTCATTGAATTCTATAGGTTGCTTTTAGAGCTCTTGTTGGCAAGGGTTATCAAACTTTGCAGAGTCTGTTACTGGATTTCTGTCAGTGGCAACCGAGTGAATCACTTTTGAATGTACTGCTTGATATGCTGGTTGATGGCAAATTTGATCCGAAAGCAAGCTCTGTTATAAAGGTGAGTTTCTAGCATGGCGTATCTTTAAACTGAACATTAACTAGTCAAATGTTTTTGCCCCGAAAATGCTCCAAAACCTTCTTTCGTAGTCTGCCCTGGTATCCTCTTTAACCGAAAGGGATATCAGCAGGGGAAATGTGCAATCAGATGTGCATTTCATATTTGATTTAGTTTTCAATGTCTCAGTAAATTTGTGTAGATATGCTTCTTACATAGTTTTGGTTCTTTTCCATTCAGAATGAAGATGTGATCTTGCTGTATCTAAGTGTTCTGCAGAAGGTTGGTTACTTTTGGTCCTTGATCAGTTAGAATGTGATTTTTTTATCTTCTCGAGATAATGTTTAAATTCGCTCTGAATAATTAATCTTGTCATTTGGTAAATTGGGCAGAGCAGTGACTCATTGCGGCATCATGGGCTAAATGTCTTTCTTCAGCTACTAAAAGATTCGCTATCAAATCGGGCATCTTGTGTTAGAGCAGGAATGCTTAACTTTCTGCTTGATTGGTTTTCACTAGAAAATAATGAAAGTATGGTCTTGAAAATTGCCCAGTTAATTCAGGTAATTGGTGGACATAGCATATCTGGGAAGGATATTCGCAAAATATTTGCTCTACTTCGCAGTGAGAAATTGGGATCTCAGCAGCAGCATTTCTCACTACTGTTAACCAGCATGTTAGCAATGCTAAAAGAGAAAGGACCAACAGCCTTCTTTGATCTCAATGGGATAGATTCTGTAAGTTCAATGACGTTCTTCATAAACTTGAAGCTATCTTAAAATTTTAACCCTTCATTGGATATTACCGACTGACCTATCAATTTTGCAAAGATACACCTTGGATTGGTGATTTTCATGAAAGTCTAGTTGTAATATTCAAAAAATAGAGAGATTAGATTATTATATTTGCTCTACTTCGCAGTGAGAAATTGGGATCTCAGCAGCAGCATTTCTCACTACTGTTAACCAGCATGTTAGCAATGCTAAACGAGAAAGGACCAACAGCCTTCTTTGATCTCAATGGGATAGATTCTGTAAGTTCAATGACGTTCTTCATAAACTTGAAGCTATCTTAAAATTTTAACCGTTCATTGGATATTACCGACTGACCTATCAATTTTGCAAAGATACACCTTGGATTGGTGATTTTCATGAAAGTCTAGTTGTAATATTCAAAAAATAGAGAGATTAGATTATTTGGAATATGTTATCATTATAGAGTTTAGTCCTCCAGATTTCACTAGAAAATTTAAAACCTTGAGACATTGCATATTTCATATGCAACAATTTCTCAATCTTCATTACTGTAATTTTACCCTTGAAGTAGGATCCCAAGTACTAGTGTTTCATTAGATGATTTATTCCGATGAAATAGTTTTCCAATTTATTTCCTGCATTGTTAATGCTTTCATTGTAGTTTCATATAGAAACAAATTATAACATTTTTAGAAAATTATTTTATTTTATTTTGCAAATCTCAATAATCAAAGAGGATTATTTGGTGAAAGGTGCTTTTGCAATTGGCCTACGCTCTCTCTCTCTCTCTCTTTTTTTTTTTTTTTTAATAAATAATAGGCTTTTATTATGGGCCCTAAATGTCTCTCAGATATCTATGATACTGAATGAAGAAAGTTATTATCTTTTAGTAAATTGATTTTCTGAAGTTTATAGATTTCATATGATTTTTATTGTCCTACAAGTTTCTGTATAATATGCATTCCGAAAATTACCCTCCATTTGTTGTATTATTACTGTAAATGTCTTCCAGAAAAAAGATCTTAAGTGAATAAATTGGAGTTACATAGCAAATATGCTTTTACTCCCAAGACAATTCATAAAAGAGGTTTGCCGATGTTTTGGAGGTTTCTTTTGCATCTTCGTAGCGTAATTATGGATTACCTATTTCATACCTATACAAGAATTTTACCATGTGAAGTTGAAATTTTCCCCAAAAAGTGAAATTTTGGTGCTTGATTTTTCCTGCTTTTGTATTTGATTCTCAATTTCCTGTACTTGCAGGGCATTGTAATCAGAAAGCCAATCCAGTGGCCCCTAAACAAGGGATTTTCATTTACTTGTTGGCTCAGAATAGAAAGTTTTCCAATAAATGGAGCAATGGGGCTCTTCAGTTTCCTCACAGAAAATGGGCGAGGGTGCTATGCTTTCCTTTTGAAGGACAAGTTAATCTACGAGGTAAGATAGGTTCTACAATGTTTCTTTTACCTTTTATTGCACATCTACTCGTGGATGTCAGTTTCCCGACAACGTGTATCTGGATAAATTCTGCAGAGTTTGATTTTTTACATTGTAAAATCCAACTGCTGTCATTCATCTGAATGAGCTCATGATATTTGCTGATGTTTTCGTACAATTGATGGACCTGTTTGTCTGATTTGCAGTCAGTTAATCAGAAGCGTCAATGTGTCTCGCTCAATGTCAACCTTGTCAGAAAGCAATGGCATTTCTTGTGTTTAACCCATTCCATTGGTAGAGCATTTTCAGGGGGAAGCCAACTGAGATGTTATTTGGATGGTGTTCTTGTATCCTCAGAGAAGTGCAGGTAATATGTCAATTACTTGGAATGGGAAAAATTTGTAATTGTCCTTCTTAGAACTAACATATGTTTCGTAATTGATTATTTAACTCCAGATATGCTAAAGTTAATGATCCTTTCACCGATTGTATGATTGGCGCAAAGATCAATTTGCCCCTCTATGAGGAAGATAATGTTATGCATCCTGTCAAAGATTCTTCTCCATTTTTTGGTCAGATTGGCCCCATTTACTTGTTCAATGAGCCCATCACTTCCGAAGTAGTGCAGGGCATCTATTCGTTAGGCCCAAGCTATATGTATTCCTTCCTTGATAATGAAATTGCAGTTCATTTGGATAGTGCTTTATCTGGTGGAGTTCTTGATGCTACAGATGGCCTCGCTCTGAAAATTATCTTTGGACTTAATGCACAGGTTTTTCTTTCTTTTAATAAACATTTCAGTTTACTGGATAACTTCTGTTTTACGTGACAAATGAACATAAGTATTCATTTTTTGGCCAGGCAAGTAACGGCAGTATATTATTTAATGTGTCACCGCTGCTGTATAAGAATGTATCTGAAGCAACTATATTCGTTGGTACACAGCTATGTTCTCGACGGCTTCTGCAACAAATTATATACTGTGTTGGGGGTGTATCTGTGTTTTTTCCTCTTCTCACTCATTCTAATATGGAAGGAAATGATGAAAGTGATCAAATTGGACAGACATTGCTCACGCCTGTAACTAAGGAGCATTTAACTGCTGAAATTATTGAGCTTATAGCATCTGTTCTAGATGAGAATTTAGCCAATCAACAGCAGATGCTTCTGCTTTCAGGGTTCTCGATACTGGGATTTTTGCTACAATCATTTCCACCCAAGCAACTAAATTTGGAAACTCTTTCAGCTCTAAAACATTTGTTTAATGTTGTTGGAAGTGGTGGTATGCTAAGCCTTGTCCTAATTATATAGTTTTTGTTAAGTGTGTGCTAATCTTTATGTGATGTCTAATTTATTTTATTTACCTCCAGGCTTGTCTGAGATGCTGGTGAAAGATGCTATTTCTAATATCTTTCTCAACCCTCTTATCTGGTTCAGCACAGTTTATCGAGTGCAACGCGAACTGTATATGTTTCTTATCCAGCAATTTGACAATGATCCGAGGTTGCTAAAAGATCTGTGTAGGCTTCCTCGTGTTCTTGATATTATTCGACAGTTCCACTGTGACACTGCGAAATCCTATCCAGCTTTCAGAAGCAAACCATATCTGCATGCTACAATAAACCAAAACACTGGAGAAAGGCTTAACGACGAAGAAATGCATAAAATTCGTCTACTTTTACTGAGTCTTGGTGAAATGAGTCTCAGGTAAAATGCGTGCAAACCTTATTTTCTATTTTGTGTGGCTTTTCTATTCTGCTGTTTAGTTCTAGCGTGACTTATATCAAGCTTCATGTTGGGTAATTTTTGGAAAAACCAGAAACTTAAAAGAGTTGATTCTAATTATAATGCGACTTTCCAGTTTATTCAACATGAGAATTGCTTGAATGAGCCTCTAAAATTTAGAGAAGAGAGAAAAGGCCACTCACATCTGCATATTCTAAAAGGATACAATTACCTAAATGCTACAAAATAAAGTAAAATCAAATAAAATCTTTGCCTTTTTCCCTTCTCTTACTTCAATATCCAACCACCACCCACCTTACATTCATTGCAACTGCTAGCAGAAGCCATTTATCCTCATCCTCTGGCATCTACAGCCTCCACTGAGATTCCATTAGCCTCTGATTTCCCTCCCATTCTCCCCATCGCAAATGGCAGCCAACTGTTGCATGCACATCCATGGCTAAGTCTATCACCAGAAGCCACAGCTCATTACATTTCCTGTTGCTCACAAAATGGAAGCGTCTATTATTACACATTTGCATCCAAGGGTTGGAACCAGCGCCATTATCCAGAGTATGGACCTCTTGACCTCCCGCGATGACTTCGGGCTCTTGTATAGATTGACATATATGGACTTCCTAGTATTAGAGGGTGTTAGTTTGCTTCTCACGTGCATTCTTTGTCGGAAGTACTTCTCCATTTATTTCATTCTTCATATGTTGTATAGTTTTGTTTCTGGGAGATCAAGTTTATGCCCCCCCTTCCTCTTGTTCTCTGAGTTTTGACTTTATATATGGTCGGGGAATCCAAATTTCCACAGCCTTCCTTTCTGGAGCTTGAAAATCCACTGAGGCTGTGTTGGTGTTTTGGCTTAAAAAAATGTCAATATTTGAACTTGAAACGGAGGTGATTCTCAGTTCTGCTGCTTCCGCCCACTCTTGATTATGTGAATTAGTTAGGTTCAACCATTTAATCTAAAAGCTTAAGCATCAATTGGAGAGGGCCACATGTATATCATTTGAAATTTGTCTTCAACATGCCCCTTCACCGTAGTTGGGGTGCCCTTTTTCCAATTAATGCTGACGTGTGTAATATTTTATTAAATGTGTGGCGGCGAGACTTGAGCCCAAGATATTTTTTTGTTATATTACCATGTTAAACCATTTGATTTAAAAGCTTTTTAAGGTGCTAGAGAGCGTCACATGTATATTATTTACATGTTGAAGAATCTTGTCTTCAAAAAACCGTTCACAACCAGATTTTTTGTACTTTAACCAGTTTCGACGCTGGCATGGAACCAATGTTAGCCTTGTAATTCATTCTATTAGCTAGGTGTAAAGTTTTTTCCAGCAGATATAGTTTTTGGGGTTTGTTTTCAATTTGGAATACATAATATCTTCCCAATGCACTTGTAAACAATTCCAGACGCCATTCTCAACTTGGACAGGTCACAACTACGACCATGTCTTTTCATCATCGCTTTCAATCTGCCTCTTAGATTTCGTGACGAGAAACCTGACCCTTCCCATCTCAAAATTTTCATCTCTCTCTTTTTCCATTTCCTGTCATATTTTCAATTCTATCATTTTCTAATTATTTTATTTTATTTTATTTTTTTATTTTTCAATGCTTAAGGGAGTTGGTATTCTTAATGTATTCACACACCTGTGGTCAATGATGGCTACTATCCACATATGCATCCCGGTGTGCTTGACGTGTCGTCAGTTAGACAGAGTTGCTTGATTGTAAAAATTTAACAATTAAATCCAGATTGCTTGGTTGTATAATATTTAAAGGTTGCTCCTTAACCGTATGAAATCTTGAAGTTTTAGATTTATTTTTTTGTGTGCAGGGAGCATATTCTGGTGTCAGATGTAAGAGCACTCGTTGCTTTTTTCGAAACCAGCTTAGATATGGCATGCATTGAAGATATCTTGCATATGATCATTCGTACTGTTTCTCAGAAACAAGTGCTAGCTTCTTTTCTTGAACAAGTCAATTCAATTGGTGGCTGTCATGTTTTTGTCAATCTTCTTCAGAGGTATTTTTATTCCAAATTCACAATAATGGTTAAGTATGAATTTTATTCCGTATTCACAATAATGGTTAAGTATGAATTAATATGTCATATATTTTCTCTCTCTCTCTCTCTGTATCAAGTTGATAAACACCAGCAAAGCTTCTTGTGTAGAAAATTGTACATTTCACACGAAATAGCCCTCAAGTCTAATCATGGTTGTTTTATCATTATTATTATTATTATATATATATATTTTTATGTTTAACGAGCCTTCTTTTTAACCTATTTATGCAACTCCTGGCAATAAGAGGGGTTAAGTATGAATTTTATTCCGTATTCACAATAATGGTTAAGTATGAATTAATATGTCATATATTTTCTCTCTCTCTCTCTCTCTGTATCAAGTTGATAAACACCAGCAAAGCTTCTTGTGTAGAAAATTGTACATTTCACACGAAATAGCCCTCAAGTCTAATCATGGTTGTTTTATCATTATTATTTTATTATATATATATATTTTTATGTTTAACGAGCCTTCTTTTTAACCTATTTATGCAACTCCTGGCAATAAGAGGCACACTGCAAAAAATTAACAAATATGGCAAATCGAGACATCTGTTTTGCAAGTGAAATTTCTGAATCTACGATAAATTCTGTAGAGATATGTCTGTTAGTGATCTTTGTTGAGTTGTAAAATTCAAAGTGGGGAATTGTGATATTACCATCAAATCTTTCCACCATTTCTTATTCTGGTTTAACAACTCTCAACGCAATAATCGGTCTCCTATATGGTTCATCGGCTAAATCATTTATTCATGTATATCTTGAAACTCTTTTCTGAGTTTCAATCTTGTACCATAGCGGAGTCGTTGAGAGCTCTTCAAACCTCAATAGCTAATTTCATAAATTTTCTGGTCTCTATGCATATGGTAGCTGGTTTATTATGATTTTATGTTGGTTTTATTTCTTTATTTTGCGTTAGGATTTCGGGATAAGTCATGCCTAGATTAACAGCATGCAGATATGTTTACTTGATTTTGTAATTTGAATACATTGTTGGCTTTGAATATAGTTTTTACAAAAACAGTTTGTTTCTCGTAGTTACGTTGCTTAACTGTTGAAAACACAATGTCTTCTAACTCCACACTGGGAAAAAATCTATTATTAGAGGGTGTTTGATACCAATTTTTATGTAAAAATGTATTTTAGAATAGTAAATTGATGGGAAATGTGTGGTTGATATGTTTACTTGATTTTGTAATTTGAATACATTGTTGGCTTTGAATATAGTTTTTACAAAAACAGTTTGTTTCTCGTAGTTACATTGCTTAACTGTTGAAAACACAATGTCTTCTAACTCCACACAGGGAAAAAATCTATTATTAGAGGGTGTTTGATACCAATTTTTATGTAAAAATGTATTTTAGAATAGTAAATTGATGGGAAATGTGTGGTTGAAAAAAAAAATGTTTTTGATTTACGTGTAATATTATTTTAATAAAGAATGTGTGGTTGAAAAGAAGAGAGAGAAAAATGCATTTT